GCTACAAATCTTGAACTCCCTTAATATATTTTCAAACACAGCTACAAAAACAATTATTTATGTGCATACGCACATATGTACATTAGGGTGCTCATCGAAAATGTTTTTTTTTTGGAAATTTCAATACCCTACCCCTAATTTTATTCGTTTTTATGAGATATATTATTGCCTATTTTTATAGATATTTTAAAGGTCATTTAGAGGTCGTGATGTGTCGATTTAGATTAAAAAATACAGCTTTGTAGATTTATGAGTTTTTGAATGACTATTTTTGACTCGATTTCAAAGAACGAATGTCATCTGAGAAGAGGATATATAGGCCTTAAAATAGTATTTAATAATCTATTTACGGACTTGGCATGTTGGGATTTTTATGGGGTAAAATAAAAAAAAACACATATTTCTCTTAATTTTTTAAATTTTGAACATTGATAATTTCCACAATTTCAAAATATGTAGTACTGTCTAAAATCAAATCTATTTTCAAATAAACTGATACTTCATTTAAATACGGCCTTGAATTTATATTGTGTATGTACCGGACTTTCTCAAAAACTACTTGATCGACCTGCAAGAGCAGCTTTTTGATGTATTTTTTACCTTTTCAAACACTGTTTAGTACTATAGTAGAGTTTAATTTTATTTGCCAAAAGATCAAATTTATTTGCCAAAAGATTAATTTTATTTGCCAAAAGGATAAATTTATTTGCCAAAAGATTTAATTTATTTGCCAAAAGATTAATTTTATTTGTCAAAAGATTAAATTTATTTGCCAAAAGATTAATTTTATTTGCCAAAAGTTTTTTGATTTCATACTGAACAAAAGAATTGAGTGATGGCCCAAAAAAACGGACGCAACTGGGGCCATACCTAATTTTATTAGCCCTTATCTTTGAACTCTGAGAGGAAACATTAATTAACAGATTTAACGATCATTAGTTAAGTGCCCGTTAGAGCTAATTTAATGATTGTTTCTGAGTGCGGCTGTAAGACTCTAATTTTGAGATTTATTGGCTACAGTTCTCGTGCGATCATCCTAAGAGATAGCGCAAAAATATAATATAAAAATAATATAGATCAGGTAGCCTGCTTATTTGACTTTGATTTACTTTTTTTAAAACACCTTAATTTTTTTGAGTAGTGTACTTTAAGAAAAGTTCCCAAAAACTCCTCAATCAATGTTGGTTTCCTTTTTTTGGTGATTTAAAAATGAAAGAGCGCTCTTCAACTAAATTTATCTTTCATAGATCTCAGTTTTTTTCGCCTAAATATTTACCTCACGCTGGCGTTTTGTCTCTTTTGCTCATCTAGCTTTATCAATCAGTAGTCTTAATCGTTGATAAACTCATTAAATAATTGTATTTATGCTCTAAATTTGATACGCCCCTTGTTCAGTTGTTTCTCATATATTTTTCTAGATTCGCTCTTTTCCATATTGTCAGTTTATGAATTAAAAGTTTGGCGTAAAAAGTTGTTCGGTTTTATTGTTTCAGGTTTTGAGTTTTAAAAATGGGAGTGATAAATATTTGTATCTCATTTCACCTGATACCTGATAGATAACTAAAGACAACCCTTTAATTCTATCAAGTCTGTGATCATTTGATTTTAATAAAGAGAACACAAAAACATATACATACTATTTTTCTTTGTATTTTAAACACTCTGAATTAAGGGTTGGAACTCATCCGCGATTCAAATTTCCATCGTTAGAGCTAAACTTCAAATTTTTTGACGAGTTTTGGGCCTACTTTGCACCAAATCTCATCGATAAACATATGTACGTTTTTTCTGAAGTTATTCTATACACTAAAAGTATAGACAGACGGCAACGTTGATCCGGATTAACGCCGCAATTGATGTGATCAAAATTGTGCCTTGACAGACGGCAGAATGCGGATTAACGAGCCGCGAGGTCGTAGGTTCGAATCCCACGGCCAGTAGAATATTCATCTAATTTTTTTTATTGATTCAATTATAACTTCTATATTTTATATTTTAAAGTTGTTTTTAGTTAGTTGTTTTTGACTTTTTAGTAAAATTAAACTCTAAAAATTTAAATTATTAATAATAAAATAAAAATGTGAAATAAGGTAAAACAAACGAAAATAAAGTAAAAAACAATTAAATATATACATCAAATAAAATTTAGAAAAATAAAAGAAATAATAAAAACAAAATTTTTTTGGCGATCGCTCCAACCGAGGATCGAACCTGGGACCTACAGGCTTGTAGTACGCAGCTCTCACTACTCAGCTACCGCAGATGAAGGAATCAGTTGCTTTATTTGCTCAGTTAGCGTAGGACAAAAAGGAACTGCAAAACTAGCATAGACATCCACCGTGTCGTCGGTAATGCAGTCACCCAAATAGGTTCTTAAGGTATCCACACACCTATGCGATTCTGTCGGTGCGAATCTATTCCGACAAAAATTACAACAATGCCGACCATAGTTTGAAATGAGGAACCACACACTTATACGATTTTGCTGCAGCGATTTATTCGAACATGCACAGTTCTTCTTTTCGTCGTGCCGAAGTCGCAGACTGCCGCATTTTGAAAACGAAAAACGTCAATAGAAGGATTTTACAATATTAAAACAAAATTTAACGTAAAAGAAACAAAACATATTTGATGTAGAAAAGTTAAGAATTTTATTTTTATTGAAAAATATTTTTTTTTGTCTATAAATTGACAGATTTCACTGCGATAAAATCGCACAGATGTGTGCGTTCTTACGCTTTCGAAGCAGTAACGTCTGTATCAAAACGGTGCGGATTCGTTGCGACATAATCGCGTAGGTATGTGGATACCTTTATTCATTTTAATTGGATTCCTATTTGAATTAGTATGGTGATTGCATTACCGATGAAAAGGTATATGTCCATGCTAATTTTGCATTTTCTCTGTATTCTACGCTCTCTGAGTTTTGGCCAGTGTTGTCATCGAAAATTCCCTTGATCCGAGTTAAGTTTGGGAATTAACTCTAGGACTTAATCTGGATCAACTGCAGTTAGTTCCCGAGATAATTCCGAATTAACGAGTTGATCCGGATCAACGCTGCCGTCGGTTTATGCTTTAAAAAGACAAACATATTAAGCTTAATCGACTTTTCTTTTCATTCTGGGCATCTTGTTATATACATACAAACATACATATGTAACAGGTAGAGAACGACCGAACTTCGGCCATCAAAGTTTGATTCGGTTTCGCTTCGGCTTCGGCCAAAAAAACCGAGCTTTAGTCGAACGTTTGTAATTTTTTTTTTTATTTAAAAGTTGTACAAAGTTTTAGTTTTAATGTTTCTATTTGGATATGTAACCCTGCGTTCATTTTCATTTTAAAAATTGCAGAATCAAATCAAAAATGAACTTTTTTATTCTCGCAAAAATATATGAATATTATTGGCGGCAGCAAAACGAATGTTTTAAATTCATATTAAACATTCATTAAATAACAAATTGGACGCATTTTTAATGAACATCTGATGCCAAGAAATTTAAATATCTTTGAGTACTGGTGAAAAAAAAAATTAAACATTGTTTTATAGTATTTGTCTGCTCCTCCAATAAGTGTGTCTAGTGAGCAATTGCTCAGTGCTGAAGGTCAGCTTTATACTGATAGACAAAATCTGTTGTAAGGTGAAAATGCAGATAGGCTATTATAACATAAAGTTATTCAATTTCGAATATTAAAAATAAAGTTTTTTGTTGTTAACTTTACAAATAGGGTATTTTTGCATTATAAACTAAAATGGAGGGTCATTTAAACCAATGTACCTATTTTATTAAACCTGACTTAAAAAAATTCATTGATTATTTTTTATTTCAAACCTTGAAAATGTTCGGTTCGGCTCTAAAAATCGATGTTCGGCCGTTCTCTATTATTAGGCTGTCCTATATTTGTATGGACAGATTTTTTTAGACTTATTATCGGCAGCTGATCCAGAATTTGCGAGAACTTTTGCTCCTTATTCTTATTGTATTTACAATTTTTCAATGCATTTTGTATTTTCAATTTGTTACAAATAAAACAACATCTTGGGTATCAAATCAAAACCCAACTGAGAAATATTTTTGAATAGAGCTGCCACCTATTTTTTACCTAAAGCAATTTAATATGGATATCAAATGAAAGGTATTTTTGAGCATTTTAATCCAGATATATTTACCATGAGGGTTGCCACGTTTTTTGTAATGCAAACTTTTTTCTTAGTAATTTCATCGAGCATATACACTGAGAAAAAACATAAACCATATCATATTTGTTTCAAACAAAAACACATATGATTTGCGCCAAACGGTATTTTGTTTATTTTTAGCAAATGTTTGTTTGAAAATTTGAAATACGAATATGCTTAATACTACCATGAATATTTTTGAAATGAATAATAATAATAGATTTAAAATATTTGAAATGAAGCATATTTATGATACCAATGTCGTTTATAGGGACTCGTTCAAAATTTTCAAACAGGGGAATAGTTAAATTTAATAAGATTTTATTAAGATTGAACTATCGGCCTTTCATCATGTTTAACCAAGATGAGCTAGATTTTACCTGGATTTGTTTAAAAAAAATTAAACAGGGCAATAGTTAAATCGAATGCGATTTTATTTTATTTGAACAATGAGTTATTTATTATACTCAAACTATTTGGGTTTGATCTTACCTGGATTTGTTTAAAAAATTGCAATAGGGCAATAGTTAAATTAAACATGGTTTTGATCAAGCTGAATTATGATTTATTTATTTTAATTTTTAATACAGATTTAATACATGTTTAAAGATAAATAACTCTAAAGTCATATTTAAGCTAATATTAACAAACACTATCTGTCACATAAATAGCACTCCCATTTCAAAGTGATATTGTTTGCCAGATATGTTTGTTTATTTAGTTTTAAGAATTTCAAATTTCTAGGGGGGAATAGGGGACAAGCCCGCTGTGCGGCTTTATGAACACTGCATGCGAAATAATCGTAGCGGCAGCATTTTGATACGAAACATAATGGTTTTGAAAGCTAAAGTAAATCCCTTTCAATTGTGACCATTGAGCCACAGTTACCCCTTGACCTTAAAAAATTGATCAAAAGTAGTATTCTTCGAAAAACATGCAAAATCCACGGGATTTATTCCAAAACAAAAAATTTATGTATTTTTTATTATACTAGTATTATAGATTTTGAGAGGAGCAGCTCGATTCCACTATTCAAAATTCGAAAACAAATTTAACACTTTAATTTAAAAAATGCATTATTCATTGCATTTTTTTCTATTCGCATGCAGCTGTGCATCCTTCACTCCATTTTATATCCAGTGTTGCCAGAACTTTTTGGGGTGACCGGCTAGATTGGACAAAAAACGGCTAAAAACGGCTAAAATGTTTCAACTAGTATTCACTTTTTTTTAATACGTAAATTACAATTAGAAAGACTAGTAAATCCATTAAATTTTTTTTGGTTAACAAAGATTATTCGTAGCTAAGCTGTACACCACTTTAATTTTGTTTAACAAAGGAAACTGTCATTATACGTAGCTAAGCTTTACATCAGAAGTCATGTTTATATTACTTAAATATAAAAACAGAGATAAATTACAAACTTATGGCATTTTCTTTTCTATTAAACAATTTTGCCTCCTTATAAATATTGTAACATTTGCAGTAGGTTGGTTTTTGTCCCGCAAAATGACTATATTAGCAAAAAGTATGGCACTTTTGCTTAGGCGGAGGCCAGTATATTGAGAAATGAACACGAAAGTTGTGAAAGTGCTGAGGAAAACAGAGCAACATTATTTCGAGAAAAGAAAACGCCATGATACAAACACAGAAGGTAGTTTAATTTATTAACATTCGTTGTTGTTGCCGAACTTTTAACAAGTTTATGACATTTAACTAAAATCATGCCACCAGATTCACTAGTAGACAAAATTTTGATTCTTGTAAAAGTAAAAAAAAATTAAGTTAGTGAAGTTGGATGAAAATATTAAGTGTTGCGCGTTTCCAAACTGCTAGAATTCGGTACACCTGAGAAAAGATTCGAAAATAAAGTTCTTTACTTTTCCGAGGATAGGGTACGTAATACGTGCAGTTCGACGACGAACAGGAACAGGAAGGAGGTCGAGTTAAAATGATGGCGGTGGATTTTGTGCAAAAATACTGTGGATGGCGTAACCGGAGTTGGACTGATGGGGATATTTCTTCTAGTGCGGCAGAAGGCCACCTACTCGGAAATAACAATGATAACAAAAATAAAGTATATTTGCACCATGATGCTTTTCTTCACAGGTATTGTCTCCCCAGAGAGTTTTGCTCCACATCGAAATTTGTGCTATTATTTTCTAAGTGTTGCGCGTAAAACTTCACACTTAAATTAAGACATTCTTAACAAAAATTGAAGCAAGTTTCGCCTATTTTTCTTTAGTTTATTTAATGTTTATTATTTTTTACGAATATGTAGCTCATTACTTAACAAAAACCATATACTACATCCAGATTTTAGACTTTGTGTAAAAATTATGAAAATTCTGCACAATGTGTAACTTTCTAATCAGCTAAAATGGCGCGTCCCAGTTTATATGTAATTGGGTCACTCGCTTAAAACAAAAAAAAAAAAATATTGAAATCGGCTCACTATCTGAAGTCTTTTCGGGTTAGAAAAATTGTTTTTCAATTTTATATAACACAGCCCGACATGAAAATTTTCTCAGGGATAAGACTAGCCATTTCTAATAGATTATGGATCACTAAATTTGTAAAAATAAAAACTTGTATATTTGAATTTTAATAAAATAAGGCGAATAGCAAATAGCAAAATCGGCTAATACCGGCTAATTTTTTTTTGCAAAACGGCTAACAAATCGGCTGCCGGCTAAACCGAATTTTCTCCGGCTGTTTGCTATCGTAACCGGCTAAATCTAGCCGGAAAACGGCTAAAATGGCAACACTGTTTATATCCCTCGAACAATAAATGCAATTCAAACCTTTAATTTGAGCTAAGGTAGAAAAAAGCCTCTAGGCCCTCTGAGAGCCAAGTTATAACAATTTTAACCCTACGGCAGGCGCCATATGGTGACTGTCAATTTCGGGCGCAATGTGCCTAACTGGCACACTTTTAAAAACACATAATAAACAAACCATTATATTGTTTATACCTCTGGGGAATACTGGCACGGCATTTAGAAATGTGAAAAAAGAAACAAATGTAAATATTTTCGTAAAAATCCATTTATTTTACACAAATTTAGCAGCCACTAAAAAATCTTGGAATAAGGTTAAGAAATCCAAAGGTAAAACATGTCACGTAAAATAGTTAAAAAAAAAATGCAAACACTCCATAAAGATTCAACTCTGGGACATGTACATAATAACTACTTTTAGAAAAATTATAAAATAACAAAAAAATATACTAAAAATAATTAATTTCATAAATTTGAAGAGTTTGGACGCAATGAGCTTCTCGGATCAAATTCTGCATAACTTCTCGTTGTGAGAGTCAAACAAAAACTGAGTGTTTTGCTGCAGGAACCCACATACAAGATCGCGCAATCGGAAAAGAATGAAAAAAGTAAATTTCTGAGCGTTTTTGACATCTGCCTAACATGCTAACCTAATATTCGCGGCTTGCGTTTTGGTACGCACGCCGTCGAATTTGTTTTTTTGCGTCACCCGAAATTAGCTTGCGTGCGTTTGCATTTCGGTTGGTCCCATACAAGTTGTATGTGCATGAGAAATTTTTGACAGTAAATTGGCGGCGTGCGTGAATATTAGGTTAGCCTGTAAGAATGAAAACAAACAAAAAAAAAAACGAAAAGGGTGCGGTGATTGAGTGCGATTAAATTGGTATTTATTTAACAAAATATACAAAGTGAAACTTGATGACAATTAGCAAAAAAAGTTCATAAAATATGGTTTTCATGATTGAAAATGTTTTACAATCGCATATCATCACCACGGGTTGATTTCTCAATGCCAACGATCTGGCCACAAACGTGCACCCACTTTTCACGAAAATTTAGGCCTTGTCTCACTAAACCTGACTTATTGTTCGAGGGATATAAAATCGTGTGAAGGATGCACAGCTGCGTGCAAATCATAAAAAATGCAATATACTTATAATGCATTTTTCAAATTGAGGGGTTGATATTTTTTCTCGTTTTTTAAACAGTGGAATCGTGTTCCTCGTCTCAAAATCTATAATATTAGTATAATAGAAAATATAAAAAATGTTTTTTTTTATATATCCTTTGGATTATGCATGTTTTTTTTAAGAACACTATTTTTGACCAATTTTTTAAGGTCAAGGAGGGGTTGGGGCTCAATGGCAATATTTTGCCTTGAAAGGCAATTACATTAGCATTCAAAGCCATTTTGCTTCTGTCGAATGCGCTACGGTTAATTGGCATAAAGTGTTAAAAAAGCACACTGTATGCCGTCGAGTCAGCTGGAATGTCTTATTTTTCAGTCGAGAAATCTAATTTTGAAATTTTAAAATTACTACGGTGTATTTTTCTCAAAAACATATGACTCAAAACATATGATTTATAAAAATATAATTCATTTATAACCAATATATAATATAGTAAAATAAAATGTCTTATCATACTGGGCCTACACAATTTTTGATTCTTATTTCCTCCCCCCAAAAATCGATGCCACGATCCGACCCTGTGGCCGATACTGTATTTTTTACCAAATAAGTATGTAATTAAAGAAACTTATTTCTAATATATGATTTTCCGTTGTTAATCGTATATATGTGAAGTGGTGGGCTTGTAAAAAATTATATATTCCTTAAATAAATTTCATTGGTACGTTTTTTACCAATCTCAAAGGCTTGAAAGTGTTTATCAAATAATTTTAATTCAATAAAATAAAACAACACAAAAATTTGGTCTGAGTTTATTAGAAAAGATATAGTCTTAAATAACTTTACAGAAGAGCCTCGATATGAGCATAGATAGTGTAAATTTTTATATAACTTTCCCCTATATTTGACTTCATTCGTTTCCTTGAAATTTCCTTTGGGTGCATCTGAGTCAACAATTGAAGGGTAAGGGTCTTAAGTTTATAATCGATAGGCAATCCTTCAGCGTATTTGATTAAAAATTCTGAGAATTTCAGCGAAGCCTTGTTAGCAAGAAAAAAAGGGTGGGTTTAATCTTGCAGTATGTAATATATTTTGAATACATCTTTGATTGTCTGTGCTTTGCTTCAAACCGAAAGCATCAAATTTTTTTCAGCGGACCATACAATCTTAATGCTGACGAACAATCTATATATATAAGTGTGAATGTCTTTGATTATTACCTTATAACTTTTGAACCACGACACGGAATCGCACAAAACTTTGCACACTTATTTGTTTTTACCCCGGGAAGGTTATAGGTACGGTGACCATCCGTCCTTTATTTTAAAGGACAGTCCTTTATTTTAACCCCCTGTCCTTTATAATTTTTTTCAAAATAAAGGACACCTTTTGTCCTTTATTTCTTAAACTGTCCTTTAAATCGGCTCTGCATTTTTCAGAGGTAAATTTTTAAACGCAGAATATGAAAAATAAAAATCCCTTATAAAATATAATGAAAACCTTCGCCAGTTTGCTTCGCACCCGACTTAAGGGTTTCTATTTAATCGGTTATCTTTGTACAATCTACAAAGCACAGGGAAAGTTGTGCCCAGGATCGTCTCGTACGTTGAGTTTCCAGTTCCACTGAAAGAGAACAGTAAACCCCCTGCTACACAGTGGTTCAAAACCGGCATTTAGTGTTCGTAATTCACTGGAGCCTTCATTTTTCACTTCATTTGATTAATTATAATTTTTTTATGAAAGCTTACAATATTTGCAATAGATCAGTTGAGCCTGATTTCTGAATTTTTAATTGATTATATTAAATTTTTTTGTGCAAAATGCAGAAAAAGTAGCAGTTTTGAAAAAAATGTATTTTCCTGTTCCAGGTAATAAATGTTACATAACAGAAAGTTCAAAACAATTGTATGGTTCACCCAAAACAAAAAAAAAAGTACACAAAAAAAATTTGAAATGTTATAAAAAAATTTTCACCAAAATAATTTTTTTTTGCTTTTCAGTAAAAAGTGGTTTAAAAATTAAGGCTCCGGTGAT